GGAAATGTTTGTGAGATCAGCAGTCCCTTTGAGTTCAATTACTGGTTTCTGTGATGGCCCTGGGGAATATGCAGGTTGGTTACTACCAATTTAACCTTATAGTTGCTTATGCGGCCCATTGGAAAACGTTCTGTTCTGTATTCAGCAGAGATTTTGGCTCTGCAAAAGGACAATTTTCATGCAAACATTTCAGGGCATACCTTTCAAATTATTTGATCACTATTCTTAAACAAAAAATATCACCAATGGGATCAGTAAAGGGGTGAAACAAAAAAAGAAACAACTTTTTTTTTTCCTAAAGAAGGCAAAAGAAATTTACATTTGGATGCTACTGTTCTTCCTTGAGAAGGGTCCCAACCTATTGACTGAGTTGTAGGCTGTTTTCCTTTGCCTTATTTTTTCTCCACTTAAACTCATTAGTTAAACTTTCTCCAGTAGCTTGGGACCTATTATTTATGCAGGAGAATCCCATCATGTTTTGTAATTTTTTTACAGAAAGTGGCATGTGCTTTTAGGAGAGCAGTTCAGTGAACTATGTTTTTGTTTCAGGCATTCGATACAGGGTGCTCCTTTTCATATTTATGGCCTCAGCTTAGCAGCTAAGAGCATGCACTATACACTTGGGAGGTTCATTTTAGCCTCTAATTAGGGAAACTGGTGCCTCAGCTGAGGCAGTCAGCTTTGCAGACCAAGACTGTGTATTTGCCAACCAGGTTTGCAGACCAAGCCTTAAAATTAGTGCTCTGAAACTCACATTAGCTTTTGGTGAAACTTTATACTGAAAGCAAGACCTCAAGCCCATTAGAGAGATTAGAAAGACCAGATTTATAACGTCACCTACTGCCTGAGAAATGTTTCAGGATGAAAAATAAAATGGGAATTTGCAGACACAGGTTTTTCTGTAGATACTTAAATGAGGCTAATCCCTCTTTTCATACAAAGTTGTGCACCTATGCACATTGTCATCTGACCAACACAGCTGTAAATTTGGAGTATTGTATTTTCAGAAGAATGCTGAGTCAGTACATTTGTGTGCTGTATAAAGTATATGTAAAGGACGTAGGCAAAGAAAAAAAATCAGGGAAGATTGCCTCATTTTTTCTGTTTATGTAATTATTTGTTTCCTTATGCACTTGCAAACAAATGTCTTTAAAAGTGCTTTTTAAGTATATTGCAAATTATAAGTGAGCTGTCATATTTTGTGTGAAATGACAAAAATTTATGAAGTCTTATAACAGATGCCTTGTTTTCCTTAATTCGCTTATTTACATTGTTCAGTATGTTTATTATGTGCACTATTTTAACTAATTGTGTGTTCATGGCACAATCAGAGACTCCGTCATGGAATAAATATGTTGAGTAAGTATCCTTGCTGTTTTATAGCTGCCCTGTCCTTATCTCATCCTTCCTCTTCCATTTGTTATGTTCTTCTTTTCATCTTGTTTGCTGTTATCTAATTTCTTTCCAGTAATACTGACCATAGTATCTGTCCTGACAAAATATTTCGCCAGGTGTTTGTTGCCTGTGAAAACTCCCTTAGTAAGTCAACTAACAATTTTTAGTCTAGCAAGCTCATACTTATTGCTAAATGCACCTGCTGTGCTACCTCTGAATGAAATCATGTATGAGAACTTTGCTTGAAACTGGCCAGCCTTGCACAGTTCCCATGCAAGAGATTCGATGGTTGGACACATTAGAATAGGCCAATGGAGTTTAAGTTGAATTATTTCAGAAAATACTTCCTGGACGTACTCAGTTCTGTCCTTAAACTGAAACTTAGTGGAAGCAAAACTTTCTTTTGGACTGAGCGCATCGTGAGAAGTGTTCCCCTGTAATCATTTGTAGGCATATTTTATGAGCAAGCATAAAATTATCTGGGAACACTTTTATGAGGATTCTTGTCTTTTTAGCTTGTCAAACCTTCAGAAAATATAGCAAAGATATCACTTGAAGTTCTTTTTGGTTGGTTGGTTGGGTTTTTTAAAAATTAATTTTAGAAGAGGCTAATGGGCTTCAGAAAGCCCATTTCATTTCTTTAAGTTGCTTTAAAATATTCCTGTTAGAAACAGATACCAGATGCACAAGCTAATCAACCTACAGTGCATTAAACAATTATTTTGGCTCATTGAACCAATCAGAACACACTTTTTATTTTTGACTGGCATATGATAAACACAGCCATCTGCTGCTCCGTAGCCTGGTGGTTGGTCTGCTCAGGGCTGTAAGGAAAGACAGTAAAATGCCCTTATTTTAGGTTTCATAAAATCATGCAGGGCACAACTTCTAGGCCATAAATTACTAATTATAGATAGCACTGAACCAAATATTTCATCCGATCACAATAACATCCTAATCCCAGGACGTTTCATGTATTTCTGTATAGTGTACTACCCTCAAGTATGTCTGTGACTTTCTTTTTTACCTGATGTTGTCCTTTTCTTATTGAAAACTGTCACACTGTAACATAGCCATGATGTATTTAGCTGAAACATGGACATCTCATCCATGTGAGTCAAAATTTGGTCAGTGGATCTACAGCGGGAAATCTGAACATTCTGGAGGAAAATATCAAAGTGCTTGTTGTGTCTTCCGTAGGCAGGAAAATGTAGATGATGTTATCAGTGCACCAAGCAGGGCAGGCAAGAAATGTAGATCAGAAATGCAAATGGACCCATGCAGCACAGAGTAAATCCTTTCCCTTCCATGTTTCCTCTTCTCCTGCATCCCCTCATACCTTTCAGCTTTTCCTCCTCAAATGCATAGAATGAAATCAAGTACTTTTGAGGAGCAAAATAACTCAACAAACTTTGATTGATTGATACTGGATTTGGAAAAGATACATTTAATCTATTTTGTTCTGCTGTTCCAGAGACTTACAGGGATACAAGAGTAACCTTGTGCAAATATTTGTCCTAGATCTTCCTTTAAAACATTTTCTTTACCATTTTGAAAAAAGAAATCAATTCAAATTACCCCCACTAATTTTTTTTTAAAAAAACCTGACTTCTGTTGTTAAAGAAGCTGTTCCATTGCTGGAGGACTTTGCCCAATCCATTTAGAATTAGATGATGATTATACAATCAATTAAACCATCTGACATGCTGAATAAATACAAGTGCTTTATCATTTTAATGAGCTTATGTACCATTAAGTATTTTTTTAGTTCTTTGCATGTGTTTTCTGCATGTATTACTGAATACACATGCTTAAAGAGACTTTCATGTGGATGACCTATATTTGAAATACCGGAGCAAAACTAAGTAGGAGCCATAAAAAGTCAGATACAAGATAATGTTTAGGTGTATGGTCAAAGAGGAGATATGAGAAACATTTTGCACTCACTGTTGCACAAAACCAGTCCTGCTAATCTCCATTTTAAGATGAGGCATACTGAGGTTTTATAATGTGTGTAACTAGCTCTACTGTCCGACAGGATGGTAGGAGGGCATGAGATTTGCCACTACCTGTATGTGTGCCCACCTGCAGATCAGTGGAATATGGCTAAGAGAAAACATTTCCTTTTTCTGCATAATGAAGTTCTTCCTTTAATTGCTTACACCTTTCTTTTTACCGAACAGGAATCCCAACTGTTATAATTTTTTTTGTGTGATGGTACCATTATAGCTACTGATGTGTAGGGTCTGAACAGAAAACTCAAACTAGTGTTTCCAGTGAAAGACCCTAACATCATGACTTACGAGATTTGTGTTTTATGGGATTTTAGGTGTTTGGGTTTTTTTAATAGGTGTTGGTATCATCTGCATCTTCATTTGGAGATAAAGGGCAGGGAATGCCAGTGTAGGTACTAAATATTTATTATTTTTATTAAGATATGACCTCGAATACCTAGTCCCATTGGGATAGATGTCTCGGGTAGAAACATTAAAAAAGAGGTGGTTTATGCCCTGAAGTATGTCTCTGACAGTAGGTAGAGCCCTGGATGAATACAGATCTGAATGTTATAAGTCAGATGCATTCCTGTCCTCCATAGAGAATTTGTTAAATTTTATTACAAGCATCATCTTTATTACAAAAGGTAAGACGTATGTTCTATCCAAGATTATCACAGTCAAGAGGATGTTGGTAATAAATAAGGGAAAAAACCACCCTCATGACTCTCTTGCTGTCAAGCGGGTCAAAATCATTACATATAGTATTCAGGTGGGAGTTGTTTTCCTCTTTTTCAGTGAGGGCATTCTGTTGTTTAATTCTGAGGGCTGGTGTGATTTACCATGCATAGAGAAACACAAGGGAAGTTGCAGAAAAAATAACCTTTTTTGTTAATGAAACCTAGTGGTGATGTTTTTTAACCTGCTGTCCTTCAAAATGGCCTGGACAGGAAGAGATGAGAGGTATGAATGGAACAACCACCCTCGTTCAAATCAGAGAAACAGCAAGGAATGTGGCATAATCCATTCCTCTTTCAGTGGTGATTGCAGGCAGAGCTTCAAAAGTCCCATAACACAGCTTAGTAGCATAGTATTCGTGCTTGACTTAATGAGTGATGGTTCATCAAGGTACACCCTGTGGTGAAAATAATCTTCATCCTGCAGCTGTCATGGGTGCTTTCCCATTTCTTACATGCTCCTTGGTCCATCCATGAAGCTGCTCATACACAGCCCAGTGCTGCAGCCATGACTCACATGAGCAACCCCAACGAGATGGGCAGAGTGTCTCATGTGAGTAGGATTGGGTTGAGTGTGCCTCTGCCATTTCTGCCATCTACTGCTTGCTAATGCTCTTGCTTATCTTGGCCACTTTATTCCCCAGGTACACTTTCACTGGCATTTACACTTTTGAGTCATTGATAAAAATCTTGGCGAGAGGATTTTGCATGACAGAATTCACTTTCCTTCGAGATCCATGGAACTGGCTGGATTTCAGTGTTATTGTTATGGCGTAAGTAGCACTTCTTTATATATTTCAAGACAGCGATATGCAACAGAACTTTTACAAAAATTGTCTGGCTGTTCTCTTTTTTTTTACTCAAATTGTACTGAAAATGAGAAAATGCTGAAGTATATTAGGATACAGTTTGTTTTCTTCAGTGGTTTCAGAGGAAGAAGTCAGAGGAATTCTCGATTCTGTTCTCTCAATTCACTAGATTACTTTGGAGAAATTATTTACTCTCTCTGTGCTCCACAGAGAGAGCTGTTTGTAAAATATCTGTAGTGATACTTGCCTACCTAATGTAGTTTTGGGAAGCTTCAGACCCCTGAATAGAAAGTGTTACAAGTGTGACCGAATACCTATGTATTTAAATCCCTATTTATAATCTATCCATCCATAACACTATCAAAGCTGTTTTCAAGTTCTTCACAAACCCTCTTCATCCTGAAAGTAATTACTATTTTACTACTATGGGAAATTAATTTAAAGGCCTCTGAAACTTGGTATATATCTTGGGAATAGACATTTTGCCCCCAACACAATATTCCCCTTCAGCTGTATACTTCTACCTAGATTATTAGAGTTCACTCAGGACATGCAGGGTTCTGGTGCTTTGAAGGAGCTGATGGATTTGTGGCATCTAGACAGCTAAAAATACACGAGGGTAGGGGAGCAGTCAGCCAACGTTCACAGCAGACACGGTGTCAGCCCAAGCTCTGGCCAAAGGCAGATGTCTGACACTGTCGGTATCTCCAGCTGAACTAGAAATCCAGATTTTCTTCAGAGTCAAAGAACAGAGAAAAGCACATGAAGAGAGCATGTCATCTTGAAGTTGAAGCTAGTACAGATGCCCTGAAAGGTCCCATTTCCTAACTATAGAAGGATTTCATCTGATCTCCCTGTATTTTCTGCTTAATGATACCTGTATTCTGGTTTTAGTTTAGTTCTCACTGCCTTCTTTAAACCTCACAATTCACAGCCTTAGATGAGATACAAGCCTGCTAGCACTGACATTTGAGCTGAACTCCTGGGCCTGTGACATTTGAATGGAACCAAAATTGGTAAAAGATGTTCAACCAAACTTAGTTCAAACACCAGTGAGGGCCACTGAATTTAGTAGCAAAAACTCTGGTAGGCTGCAGGGATCAGGACCAATATTCTTAGCAGCATTTAGCAGAAAAACAGCATGAAGTATGTAAAACTTATGTGGACTTCATCGGGAAGACTCCCATTTATTTTAGTAGGCTTTGGATCAAAGCCAGCCCTAGGCCAGATCCTGGTATCTGTTACTACATTCCTATGGATTTCGCTGAACTGACATCTGGCCATTGTGATAAGCTTTAAAAAAAAATGCAACACAGATGGGGAGGAGCTTTTGGAGGTCAGCACCCATTAGGTATTTTTCTCAGCTAAACTTTTCCTCAAGCAGTGCTAAGTGCAATTCTCCTGCAACATTTAGAGGCAGGACAGAACAACACGAAGTGTCACCAGCTTGCTCTCCTGTCCATCAGACAGGTGGTAAAAGCAGGGTATGATAGTTCATCTGTTTATGAGTTGGGATGTGAGTTCATTTTCAGGTCTCTGAATTCAGCACAACATCGAGATCTTTTGTGCATGAGTTCCTTTTATTCTACAAGGAAGGAGGGTTTTGACAGTGAGGCAGAAAAGAGCAGAGAAAAGGACAAGATGAGCCACAGCTTGCAGTCTCAGATATGTGTTCGCTCCACTTCATCATCTCAGCTCAGGCAGAGGTTGGGGCATCAGCCCCAGCTCTGCAGAACTCCTCTGGGAGCATCTCATTTACTGTCACTGAAAATTGAGTCTGAACAGTCAGTGTGGGACAAGGTCTGGATGTCCCTTAAATTCTGTCCACATTATCTCTGGGTATTTGGATCTTAGGGAGCTGGAAACATGTGAAGGTTTGCGCAGACCTTGAGGTGGACAGTTGCCCAGCGGTGATTCACTCCCTGCAGGTAGGAACCAGGGTTTGGTTCCCAGAGTTTGTGGGCTTACACCTCTTTTTGCTTTTCTGATTCTTCTAGACTTGAATGGGCACTCAGTGCTCCAGCCCAAGGTTTCATGAAAACTTCCTTAAGCCTTATTTAATGAGAAGCTTGGGCGTCTGTGCTTTCTTTCCTAGCTACATTTCAATTTTCTTTCCAAATGCTATTTCATCTCTTAGAAGATCCCTAAAACAGGGGTACCTGCAACTGTGAGAAATCAAGCTTCTAAACATCAAATTATAGCAATGGCTGTGCTCTTCAGAACCGGCATCCATTCATATTGTTTATTACTTTAAGGCATATTATATGAACATTTTTAGAATAGCAAAAAAAAAAGAATTGGAATTCTGGAATAGAAAAGAAATAGAAAAATGTTTCCTTGCACCCATAGGCAGCAGTGAGAGAGTTAAAAGTGACTGCAGTATTATTATGAAACTTCCTTCCCAAGCATGCAAGCAGCAGGCAGTACAGAGCATTGGATAATGGACTCTATTCTGATAAGATTTATCCTTCATATAAATCCAACTTGCAAGTAATTTAAAGATTGATTATACGGGTAACTCTGGTGGTGTCTTTGCTTGTAGCTAGTGTGGTGTTAGAGGTATTTCTGCATCTGGAAGCAAAGATGGCATGAGGGTTCAAAATGAGAAAGCCTGCTGAGCGGCCATGAGATCTAGATGGACCAAGGGTTTTGAGCTAACAGAAAATCTCATTCTTTCAGTGGTGGGTGTTATAGTGAAATGATTGTCACTTGCCTTACAGTTATTGCAAAATAACTTCTTACCTCCTTTTCTGGGCAGAAACAGCACAGACTGGGTCACAGAGAGTGGTTTTAAATAGCACACTAGAGAGTAAGAGGTGCACAGGTCTCCAGGGCTTTTCTCCTACCCTGTGCTAACAGACACAGCCATGGCTTGTGCCCCTCTGTGGGGCCATGGATGGGTTCAGCGGAAATTATGAAACTGCTCTTGTTTAGATCACTCTTTCCCAGACAAGAAAGTACTTTCCAGAACAGGCGAGGGAGAGGCAGCTGTAACTCTGGGTTGGAAACTGCCCTACCAAAAGCTTGAAGACAATAAGCAATTCCCTGGCTAACAGGAAAATTCAGGATGGGAATGCCAGTTACTTCTTGCTCTCTGATAGAGAGGAACTGGTCTGCTGCAATTTCATCCAGGAAATGGCCAAAATAAATCTTAATTAACTATTGTGAACAAGCAGCAGTAGTATTTGCTTCACATGCTTGTTCACATATTAATAACGTGTTTTTACAAATCTCTGGTCAGCAAAACCATATTCCCATGCTATTGCTTCTACCCAGATTATTTTTTTCCACCCTTGCATGCTGCAGAAGAGTTTGGGAGAGAAGCACTAGGAAAACCTGGGTAAGAATTACCAAATAGGTAAATTTTTGCCCAGATTCCCCTATGAGATTATGAAGAGGAGAAGCAATATTGCTTTTCGAGGTTAGAATCTGGATTAGTAGACATGGAGAGGATGCTTTGTCCTCCCCAGAGGCCTTTGCACAAAGCCCACTTAAGCAGGCTTTATAAAATAACCAGGTGAGTTTTTTCCTTAACATGTAAAAACAAATGCCTCAAAGTAGTAGAATATGTAAATGAAATTTAATAGAAGTTTAACAGTGAAATTAAAGGGTCCCAGAGCTGTTTTGTTCAGAAGATACAGTGGTGACTATGCTTTTACTGTATACTGACTTGGAGGAAATAATTTTGTACAACACTGATAAAACCAAACTCATCCAATAACTGACCGTCCTGGGAGCATTTTGCTCGGATGTGGCATGGGTCTCGGTGATGACCAAACTAGGCACAGCAGTGAAGAGCTGGGATTGGTATTTTAATCATAAATAGTTTTTAGTAGGATTGCAATTATATTCATTCAAAATCCATCTTCCTGCAGCCAAAGGGCATGGATTTTATGTGCAAAACAAAATAAAATTTTAAGCATCTCTTGAAACCAACATCTGCTTTACCACAGAGTACAGCATCTTAGAATAAATAACTCAGTAGAAACATTTGCACTGATATTTTCCCATGTTGTCCTGTATGTAGTCTGCAGAAGCTATTATGTGAAAATTGCTTGGGTATTTGAATCTTTTCTTTTTTTTAAAAGCAGCAAAATAACTCTTAATGTTTCCTATAATGTAAAGAATTTTTTCGTTAAACTACATGATGGTAAAATCTTTAAAGTATTTATTGCTGAACAGCATGATAACAAAGTTCACCCAGTCTTTTTAAAGAATTGATGCCTATTGGATAAGTTTAATAGTTCAGAAACATTTGAAATAATGTGTACTATGAAAAACCTGGGACAAATGGCATCAAGAACAGCCTGAAAAGTGGATGCACCTCTCATTTGGCTGCATTTGCTCCTGCTATATATGAATGCATTCTTCATTCAGACAAGTCTCATACTCTATTGTATAATTCCAAATAACTGTGACTTAATTCTACAGGTATGTAGGAGAATTTGTGAATGTAGGCAGTGTTTCACCTCTTCGGACTTTCAGGGTATTGAGAGCTTTAAAAACTATTTCAGTAATCCCAGGTAAGAAGCCCTGATCCTTACGTTTTGGCTCTCAGCTACAAGTGATTCTTTCTCTGTCTCTCTTTGTCCCTTTGACTGTTGTTTTTTCGCTGGTGTTTTGTCATTGTCTGTGTGTGACTTTCCCTTGTTACAGATACATAACTGAATTTGTGGACCTGGGCAATGTCTCAGCCTTACGAACGTTCAGAGTACTGCGGGCGCTGAAAACAATCTCAGTCATTTCAGGTGAAAATCAGGTTAAACACTCCGGCTGCAGTTAAAGCCTACATGCCATTTCCAGTAGTAAACACAGTAATTACAAATGACTTAACCATAGATATTGATCAGGAAATGGAAGAATGTAGGGAATGTGACCTGTCAATAGAATACATTTTTCATATGTTTTCCAATACTGTTTTTGTGGGCAGAAGGAATTAGAGTGCTTCCAAAATTACAGACCTCACTAAAACCAGTGCTGCTGTAAGAACGGTGGTATGCAGTGGCTCGTGAATCACATACATAAAGTACTCATTCATGAACCATGCGAAAATGGCAATGAAACTCTTTTCAAGTCTTCGGATATTGATTTTTAAAAATGGAAGGTTAATGACCTCAAAATGTGTATTAGTGTTTAAGAGCGTGTCGATAGAGGAATCTAAATCTGTGCTGTGAGCTGAGGTTTCAAGACTGCAAGCATAGATAGCCTAATTTGTCATGGTGTTTATCTATTTGCATGTGATAGAAACACTGTTTAAATTTCAGACCCTGAAGAGATCAGAAAACGTTTCATCATTGATTTTGGTAGATTCAGCATTTCACCAACACATATTTTCTTACATTTTAAAGGATATGATTTCCACTCCCCTCCCCCCCTCCAAAAAAACCCCAAAAAACTAACCAAACAAAACCAAACACCTATGTTTTACTACAGATATGGCAGTGAAATAAACTCTTTTTTCATAGCTTTTTATCTACTCTATTACTATTTCTTAAAATAATAAATAATATTTGCTATTAAGTAATTTATGCAGAGATGAGTCCACTCTCAGTGGACTAACCATATGACAAAACTTTCTTGCCAAGCATTATCTATGGACAGGTCTCATTCAGCCTCAGTGTTTAACATCTCCAACCTGCATGACAAGGTAGAGAAGATAGCAAAAACCATGCATGGTAGATCCTATCGGTGATAATCCTGAACAGATGTTGGCAATTACATGTCAAAAATATTCAAAACATTGAGAGAACTGCGAACTGCTCGGATTCTCACACACAGCTCTCTAAGGTTAGAAAGGCTTTTCCATCCATCATATTATGCACATCTACACTATAATATAAATCTACACAAATTTAGGGACAGCACTTACATGGTGTATAAGCTAGAAATGGGAATTCTGGAATTGAGGTGTTAACATATATATGGGTCTAGGGCTTACTCCCTTATTCTAAGATTAAAGTAATGAAAATCAGTGGAATTATTGAAAGAGCAAGGTAGTTTTCATTGAAAATGTATGTCAAAATACAGCTTTTAAAGAATACTTTAAGATGATTAGGTCTGGCATTCCTTGAAATCAGTTCCTGTCTTAATTTTTGTCTTTAAGTTTAAAAAGAATAATCAATTAGCAGAGGGGTTTTGTTATGTTTTCTCTAATTGGATTTACACAGAGAAAGGATTTTTTTTTTTTTTCCTGGAAAACAGAAAGTTGAGCACAGTTTGATAGATTAGGTGGGATAGTAGTGGCTAATCAGAAAGAAAACTGGAGTTTCCTATCTTCCTTTGCTAGCGATTTGAAGACTAACTTGGAGGGACAGCCATCTCCAGGGGACACCTTTCCTTTCCATCTAGTCTCAAGCTTGAGCCTCTTCAGAGCAGAGCCAGTCAATTTTGCTGAGTTATATATATAGCAATTTTCTGCTGTTCTTTATCAGAGTTGGAGCAGAAGCTTGTTTTACATCAAATGATAAATTTTGGCTGGTTTTTTAGTGGGAAGAAAAGGAGTATTGAGATTCAGAAAAACTTTAATTAAAAATACACCAAAGCCCTTCAGTGATATTAAAACCAGAGTTGTTCCATTTGTTCGTTAATAGAAAAAAAAAAAAAGATGAGGAGTATTATTTATTAGAGTAATACATAATAACTCACATTCTCTTTTTTTCTTTCTGACTGACTATTTGATTAGTTTTTTGATAACTGCATTTTTAGGTACAAGTAACTAAATCATTTGCTGACATAACTGCATGAAGATATGCTAATAGAATATCTGGCCTTAGATTTTATTGTCAAGATTACCTGTTCTCTGAATATGTTTAAATTACAGATGTGGAGAGCTACAAATTGCCAAGGAACACCTAACTCCCTGTAAAACACAGCTAAGTTTGGGGTTTTTTTTTAATGTTAGCAGATTATTTCAGAGGATTCGGTTCATTTTTCAGTTAGACACATACATTTTAAAAGAAATATTGGGCATGATGCTGTGTTTATTTGGAGATCAGTCTGAGTTTTTAATGATAACATAGGTTTATGCTGAGATGAAGTATTTTTCCACAAAAGGCTTAAAAATGAAAAGATGATGAACACTAATATCTTTCATGAGATTTTTGGGTTCAACTGCTAGAAAGAGGAGAAGGGGGTTGTTATATTTGCTTCCTCTTTTACATCTTAGGTGAAGAATGCCGAGATGTATTCTCCTTTGCAAATATCTAAGCTTTTCCTCAATAAAATTGATCACACTTTTCCATCAGGTAGTTATGATTGCACAAACGTACTTGGACTCAGCATGCTCAGTGAAATTGTTTACCGAAAGTAACAGGCCAAGTCCTCCGTGGTGTAAGGCTTCTGTCCAGCAAAGCACTTAGAGGCTGGTTTTCAAAGGCATGCTGCTTCACTTGAAATCAATGAGTTTCACTATTGACTCCAGAGGGAGTCAGTAAAGCTAACAATTAGTGCTTTTAAAAATCTCACCTACCTTTAATGCCTCACTCTAAGTGCGCAAGCAGGCACAGGAACATTCAGGAGGCACAGGAACATTTAGGGGACACAGACTCGCAGGACTCAAAAAGATCTCCCAGACTCTCAGAGTCCATTCCCCTGGCCTAAGACTGTGTTTAGGATAGCTCGGACCTGGCCTGATATTTATCGTCTTTCTTGTTCTAATAATCCTTCAAAGGTGGAGGTCTCATGATCCTCCTGAGAAGTCTGTTCCAGCACCTCATTACTTTCACCATTAGAAGATTTGCCCTGGGAAGACAGGTTCAGGTCCAGATTCAGCAACCCAAATATGAGCATCTACCAGCAAGCCATGTGCTTCTGGCTCACTGGAGATCTGGGGCTCAGTTTGGTTGCCATCACGCCAGAATCTCCTGCTCCCCAGGGCCATGGATCACCTTCAGGTCCTGTCTCTGAATCCAGACCCCCATCCAGCCTCACTCTCTCTTGGTGCATTATCAGCTCAGTATTTTTTACCCTACAGCCCCTGTGTAGGATATCAGGTCAGTGCCTTAGCCTCTGCGGCAGCCCTTAACATGCCAGAGGACCTTCATGGATCCCCTCAATTTTCACTTTTCTGCACTAAACACACCCGTTTCTTTCTGTTTTCCAGTTGTCCATGATATTGAGAGAAAACAAGCTTTGTACAGTAGCTGGGTATCTGTTTATGCAGACTTATTAAAAGAAAAAAGTTTTTAATTTCCTCATATATCTCTTATGTTCTGGTGTTTAGAAATAGGTAACATTTTCTCTATGGGAGCATAAAACCTTTAACTCTCAGTGATTTTTTTTATTAATTAGTGTCTTGCACATTGCCATGGCAACTGGATTCATTTGTTTTCAGTCTAGATAGGAACCATGGTCAGCAGCAGAACAACCCACTGAGGTCACTCATTTGTCTCCCATTACTGGCATATCCAAGTCCCAGTGTGCTCAATAGGAACCCTTCCCATGACAATAGACAGTCTTGAATCACAGTTTATCTGCATGGAAATCACCAATGTTTTTTGATAACTACTAACTGAGGTAATGTAGGGCCCTGAGGTACACCCTTCTATGCCTCCTCATCTAAAGCCTGCAAAATGCAGGCCACCACCATCATCATCATCATCATCATCACCAAGATTTTGTAAAGTCCTGTAGCCCTGAGGTACACCCTTCTATGCCTCCTCATCTAAAGCCGGCAAAATGCAGGCCACCACCATCATCATCATCATCATCACCAAGATTTTGTAAAGTCCTGTATCCAGAGAAGGTCTTTCTGCTCTTTCTGGAACAGGCGTGTATATCACGGACATCTCACATAAAATGACAGGATACCGGCAAAAGGTGACCTCATAGAAAATTGGGCCAAGGCACTTTGGGGCCTGATCCAGCTCCCATTTAAGTTAGTGTGAGTCTAAAGGCTATAAATAGGCTGCGAATGTTATCCAGTACTTCACAGATAGCCAGAGCGCAAGAATTAAGGGTGTGTGGAAGAGACTGACCCCCGTTTGCTGGTTCAATCTCACTGAAGTCCTCCTGCAGAGAGATAAATGTCACCCTTCTGGTGGGTAAATCACTTAACTCAAGAAGTAACTATCCCACAGGTGAGAAATACATTGACATATTTGCATTTTCCTTGGAGACTGCACTGATAGTCACATTTCCATGCAAAAATGGTCTACAGAAATGCTGACAACCATTCAAGTTTGCCAAGATGCGATTAAACTCTTCGCTGCCCCATGTGTCAGTGGCTAACAGCAAAATACATTCATCAGGAGTGAACTCTTCTCTCCCTGCGTGCACATGACTCATGCAGACATTTACAAGACACATGCGTATCCTCAGGAGAAGAGTAGGCTAGGTAAGGACAATCATAGTGCAAGTCACACTCCCTTTTTTTGTTTTTCATTTTTCTCCCCACTTGTTTCTAGACTGTGCATGAAAGCATCTGATGTTCTGTAGGTGATTGCCAACATCTGGTATGGATGTCATACTGAATTATGCTAATACTTTCTCACATCTTGTAGGAGGAATGGATGGTGTTGTGGGATCTTGCCATTTCTCATTGTTTGGTGTTGCTTGCATTTTCTATGGTTTCTGATTTGCATTTGAAAACTGATTATTTGATTAACCTCTGAATGCGTTAAATTTCTACCTGCATTAACAGGAATGTTTGTGCCAAATCCTTCTTGCTTACTGCAGATGTGAGGCTGCCTATACAGCCCTCATTCCACTGATTTTGGATCTTGTGGTGGTGTTCATGTCACACAAGCAGGATTTGGCCCAGAAGTGTGGAAAGAATTCAGTGATTCAGGAAAAGCCTGTATTGATTACTCCACAGGGAGTAATCTATAGACCTATTGTCATTAACGGGTGTAGCTGTTACTCAGCTTTGGATCAGATCCTCAGTTTTTGCTGCATGCTGCCTGGTTTGATGTTTGACTTGCAAGAATTAAGTAAATGCCTTTAATGCCCCATAAATAGTATCTTCTATTAAGCTATATTGCAGTGCTCTCATTGGCACTATTTCAAAGGAGGATTATTTATCTAGAAGATTTAAGTGTTCTAAATTTGAATACATCTAGCATTGCTTTTACAAAACATGGGATTCAGAGAAATGCAGAGCACCTGCAAGAGGTTCTGGGTGTCCTTATTTCCCCTCAGTCCTTCCATTTATGAGGCACAGAAATTTTAAATGAATAGTGATTTAAACACTTTGCTTAACAGTGACTTGTGCCAAGCAACTTGATGGACGCTACTTAATTTTCGGGGCAAATTTTGTTTTTAAAGGGTGAGAAAAAAAACAGTTAGATTGTAAGTATACCACTTCCCAAATGGTTTTCCTGGAAAGTTTTAACAAAGGTCCAGGAAGCAGAGTACAAGTTATTTTTAAATGGCCTTTAATTACAGCAATTGTATTACTAAAGCATTCTCTTCTGAAACTGTTCAGAAGCCTGTATGCTATTGAAACAAAAAAAAAGAAAAAGAAAGTAAAGCAGAAAGACTGCTCATAAAGAAATTATTTGATACCTGCAAGGAATGAACTTGTAAAACTAATGGTATAGGATTACTATTCTATTTAAAACCCCAGTAAGTAAACTGAGAAAAACATGTTTCATGAAATGACCTTGAAATTAACAATACCGGGGCCTGATTTTGAAAACAAATAGTCTTTGCTGGTGATTAGGATTTTGTAGGTCTTGTTTCCTAATGTTATCCCTATTCACATTAGGACTCCCATTGTCCTTGCCCATGTGAGTAAGATCAATTTGTATACTTAGATGATACAAATGCAACCTCCAAGCTTGCATTTGTATGACAAACAAATAAATGTGCTTCAGGGATTCCACAGAGGGTGCTGAATTAAAAGAATCTGTGGTTTGGCTTTTTTCCCTTTTTTAAGACTTAGTTTGCATTTGGACTTCCCAACTTTCACCAGCCTCAGTGAAGAAACATCTGTGCATTCAAAGGACAGCCAATGATGAGAATCATCGAAAACATTTCAGAATATTAGATCAAATAAAGAAATATTGTAGTGCATTTACAAATCATATTTCTTTTTCCCCACCTAAGTACTTGTTTAAGACCTGGCTGTATTAAAGGTCTTACATTCTTAACACTGGATAAGTGTGAGACCCCAGGAAGTCCTTCAGAATTGGGCTACAACTAAAACTAGCTTCACTTCAGGTATAAAGTTCACCCAGGACTAGATTATCAGAAGAGCTATACTTTTTATTTAGGCACCAAAATAGGTAGCCAAATCTACAGATGGACTTAAAAGTTCCAAACTGAACTTTTTCTAGGTACCTGAATAGAATTGACCTCATTTGTAAAATCTCTTTCTGGTGAGGAATGCAGTTAGCATGAAAATCCAGCTTTTGCCTAATGTTTATACTGCGATATTTTTTTATTTATTTTTGAGTAGAGCAGGGAGCTGTCTAACCTCTTGCTCTTTACCATGCCACAGACTAACTTTAGAGAGTTAAGAATTTAGTGGAGAAAGACACAAAGAGTTTAGTGGAGAAAATGGGCTACCCACATGTGATGGGTCAGTCCCTTTTAGTTATATGGTCATTTTATAGACGTTAACATCATTCACAGGTTAACCTAATGGCAATACCCTATGCAGGAGTGCAGTATTTTAGGTGCTGGATACAGGGACTGCTGGACCTGTTGGCCATTCTAGCAGCTCATCCTCCTTTGAGAAACTACGATTTCCCCTTACTTTAACCACAGAATTTTAAGCAAGACCAAAACCCCATTTTGCCTTCCTGTGAGTCCTCAAGTACATTTTCATATTATTTTAAATTATACAGCACTAGCTCAACCTTTGTGTCTGGAAACTCTTGGGGTGGAATTCGAGGGAACTGAGATTTAATGTGTATGATCATATTCAGTGAGCAAATCAATGTGCTTCTGAGTATTGCCCAGGAGAATTCCTCCTGTTTCCCTTTGCATTTTCTTTTTTCTATTTAACTCTATTTCTCTTACTGCTGCCATACTGGTGACACTGATTATCAGAAACACTGCTTACTACTTATTGAGTATTAATTAACTATAAACAGGAAAGAAACAACAAAATTTCTACCATTGTGCAGCTGATATTAACATCTGACTACAGCACACAAGTTTAGAAGAAGGTTCTTTTTTGCAAAGAGTGGGTTTTGTCGTATTCATGTGCTATTCAATCAGCTCAAATAGTGCTGGTCTCCAGGAACGCTTCAAAAGCAAGCAATATCTTTTGAGAAAACAGTATAATTATTTATATCTGTATATTTATAGAATAATAAACTGAAGCTAGTGTTACAGAGTGAAATAACACAGGAAAAGCTAATTTATGTGACCCAAGCCTTTGGTGTTTGTAATAAGATGATTTATCTACATTGGCAGCATATTATAAAATGATTAACTTTGCCCAGGTATTGTTGGAGCCTCAGGTTATTTTACTCAAATAGTTTCCACTGGGTTTATTTGATTGCCCATATTATTTGGCTTCTAATCCCAAATTGTTGTTGTCTTGAGCAAATGAATTGAAGGCAGAGGAATTATTCATATGAGGACAGCGAGCTGGATTTGGCATTAAAATATGTAAAATAATCAGGGAATAAATAACATTTCCGTAACTCTTCATCTGTTTATGTGAGGGATAAAATTATCAGAATCACCTGGGTTATTTAACACTAATTCACATTCTCAAAATTCAATGGGATTTAGGCTTTACAGCCTTTACTGCAGCTCCGTGAAAATATAAAAGACATTCTGTATTTTCGTTATCCATGAATATTTTTGTATCTCACTGTTCCTCCATCCAGTTCTTTCCCTCCATTTTTGAATCAGTGTTTGTGTAAGAGTAATATCAAGACTTTTGTCCAGACAAAAGTTGGCCAAACTAAGTGTTCATAGTGATCACTTGTCTCTCATTTCTGCCGTCCAGTTACAAACATGCAGTAGAAACCCTTCCAATTTTCCCTTCCATAGAGATTTTCATCATGAAAAGTAGCTATCTGCAGACATGTTTCATCCTCTCAGTCTATAAACTCTTGGCTTTTATCTCCCTAGGACTGAAGACCATTGTAGGGGCACTTATCCAGTCTGTTAAGAAACTTGCTGATGTGATGATCCTGACCGTTTTCTGCTTGAGTGTCTTTGCCCTCATAGGCCTCCAGCTCTTCATGGGCAACTTGCGACACAAGTGTGTCAGGGACTACACCAAGTTTAACTCCACCAATGGCACATTGTACTTGGATGGTAGGATGTGGAACACCTCAGAGGAATTTCTTAGTGATCCAGGTAAGCTCTTCTTTACCCTGTCGTCTGTTTTTTGGTTGTTGTTGGGTTGGTTTTTACTCTTATTTTGACCAAAATCTACATGTGAATCATCAAATGCAACATTACATGACTACTGGTTCTTTATGATGTTGATATGGTTTTGAAAGATCTAGGTAGCTTTTTTCTGATCTCTGTGGTGCCTTCCCAGTTCATGCTGAAAGTATTTCTGGTGCTTTCCTATGATACAGACTAAAGTCCTTGTTGCATCATTGATGATTTTCACAGTTTTAGGGTATCTCATGATATTTTTCTTGAAGAACCCTTTCCTGGAATTAGGCAATCAAAGGAAAATTTCAACTCTGTGTGTGGGTCTGGTTTGCACACTGTTTCTTTAAGACAATTTATAGCTGTTGCATTTTCTAGCAAAACTTCAAAAATTGAATTAACGGTCTTAAAAAATCAAGAAGCGAAGCAGAGCAATTTGGTATTTATTAATCTGAAAAATCCCAAGAGCATATTTTTAAGGAAATCTTATGCTATTAGGGCCCTAACTCATTATCTGGGTTGAACCATCCTGCAGTATCTGGTGCTCTGATGTTTATTATCAAAAGGCTTGTTTTCTAGGCCAAAGCAATTTTTAATACTCTGCAGTCTGCTAGACTTTGAATTACAATGAAATAGGTTCACTTAACTAATTTCTTAACATTTAAAAAAATAAAAATTTAATGTAAATAAACTTCAGAATGGAAACAAGTGGCCCAGCTGTTGCTGCTCAAAAACGCTCTGAGTCACCAGAGGACCAACACCAATGGCAATGGACATGGACTCACATGTAAAAGAATTCAATGATGGTCTTGAGGGAAGGAAGCAACCAGACTGATGTGCATTGGTAGGAACTTATGACCAGTGACCTTTGGTATTTTATTTATTTTGAGGAGAAGAATGAGCCACATAGTCAACTCATTAACTGGAAATTTGGTTGGGAGGAAGTGACAGAGTGTCATGGAGTACCTCTGATCTGACTCTGTAGACCCTTCAGTCCTATATCTCCAGCCTTCTGCACTATGAAAACCCCACACCAGACTCCTGGAAGTTGCCTGGCTTGGCCCAGGACTCTGCTGAATGCCTGGCACAAGGTTGCCTCTAACTCCTGTTGGCTTCTCAGTGTTGTATACCTCTTCAGCCAGGCTACGTTATCCAGGGATTGGGCCAAGGGCAGTCCCACCATTCCCCACTGGTGACTTCTGGCCTTTCTACTTGATTTCTCTCCCTGCAGTCTGAGCAGCCCCGGAAGCAGTGGTGTTAGAAAGGTTCTATTCAAGGAATACAAAGCGTCTCTAATGCATGATGTAGTTGATGCAGCATTAAGGAAGGGAAGCTCACAAAGCTCTGGCTGAATGAGGGCCATCTTTGGGACTAACCATGACCACCATCTTATGTGTCCCCTCAGTGTTGCTCTCTTGTCAGCTGAAAGGGAAAAGAGCTCTGTGCCAGAGCTAAAAATCCATGCTGGAGCTATGCTGGTTGGTCATGAGCCTGCTGCCATGTTTTCCCACCCATACTCTCTGTGCTTCCAGCTTGGAGATGAGTGCTCATGGAGCTAGTAAATATATCTCTGCACCTGTGGTGGATTAAGGCACTTCACGGCTCCTCCACCCACAGATAACTGACAGCTGTGGGAGGTGCTGCTCTCCCTCTCTCATAGAGGTATTGTGAGAGAAAATAGTGATACCTAGAAGTATAAAGCCCTGCAATAAAGGTGAAGGGGTGAAATGGAGCTGTGAAGATAGTCTGGACTCTCTGGAAATGGAAGTAGAGTAAATATACCACTGAATAGTCTCTATAAAAATACAGTTAATGTCGAGGCCAGCTGCAACATTGCTTTAAATGGGAGGAATTGTACAGCTGCTCCAGCATACCATGAGCAAGTTTATTTGTGTAGTCCTGATATGGGGAGGAGGGGAGATGCTCCATAAATCCATTTGGTAAATCCAGCAATGGTTAATATGGTCATGAAAATATGCTTGTTCTCACTAAAGGAGATTTACCTATTGCAAAGATAATCAACCTGGTGAGATAATGAATTAAAGTGAATTAAAGTTTGACCATGTGGTATTAATAGTAAGTAACAATAATATCAATTAATGTTTTCACATCTTCAAAATATCTGAAAATAAAGACATGGTTCATTATGGCAAACAACCATCAGTTATGGTGGATGGACAAAAATGATTTAAATAGTTGAAGTGTTGAGTGAGTGCAGCAGGCCACTGAAGAACTAGAGGAAAAGTGGATTTATAGGAAAAATGTACTGACCTCTGAATAAGAATAATGAAGAGTTCCTCGAAATGCTGGAGAAGGTGGCTTAGCTACTAGGCTAGGGAGAACAATATTAAGTAGGATTTTCATTTAATGTTGACTATTGCACTAAAGTAATTCAGAAATGGAAGGACTGGCTCATTTTGTAACTAGATGGGATAGTGCTTTGTATTTCATTTTGCATAAGTATTATGGTGAAATGAAGTGACTGTTCAACAGAGTAGTACTGACCACAATTTAATAACAGTCCAAATTTCAAGTACTGCAGGGAATTAAGCAATGCATACAGCTAGATTAAAGTGTAGGCAGACCAAATTAGATAAAAAGAGGAATATATTAAGAAACAGAGTAGTGTCAGTGTTTATTTTGAAGAAGAACTAGAGAAGAAAATTGGCCAACATGTTGAGATAGTAGAGTTCACACAAAGGGAACACACAGAATTACAAAAGCTCTTTGGAGACTTCAAAACCAATGTGGCTGAGTCACTTAGTTTGGAGCAGGGATACTAATCTAAAAACCAGAAAACAGAAACCTGAAGTACTGTCAGAGATTCATAATAATACTTAAAAAAAAAAAAAAAAAAAAAAAAAAAAAAAAAGATGTAAAGAAATAAAGGAGTGAAAAACACTCAAAAGCAAAATCAGAAAAATGAATTGTTAATTCTGGTCATCAGGACACCAAAATAGAAAATCAAAACAGGGTGATATGCCAGTGCTGCTGCTCTTGGAGAGCAAAAGTTTGCTTTGGATTCTTTGAGAGAGTTTTTAATGTTTTAAAGGACAGCAGGGAGCCTCTTGTGCCTTTGAACTTTTTTGCATGAATGGAAAAACAAAAACTAGTGGAACCCCTTAAAAGGGTAATACAGTGAAGACTTGTCTGGTGCTGCAGAGGAAATAGCTGGGAGAGTTAGTCATGATGTGCAAAGAAAGATAAGAACTAGGTTTTCAGTCTTTCTGAGCCCTTTTTATTTTGAGATAATTGTGTGCCACAGGCACTTGGTACAGGAGACATTTTGGTTTTGTAGAAGGCCTGGGATAGCTTCAGCTCTGATTTTTTGTTCAAAGCTGACTTGGTATAAAGACTAAATTGTATCCTCTTTCCTTAGCTCCTTTCACCCCCAGGCAGGAAATTTTTTCTCATCTGTCTTCTCAGTCCTCTTGTTTTGATTTTATAGATGGGGGAAAAAGTCAGTTTATAAACTTTGTTTGCATCATCACTGGGTTAACCACAATTATGTGGTAATACTTGATTGTTGAGGAAAAAAAATCAAGGTTGATCCTTGAGGAAATACCTACCATGCTCCCAGGGTTCAGGAACTCTTTCCGTTAGCTACACACTCAAGACCCACATGCACTTTCTTGCTCTACCACTGTGGTCACCACACCTAACTTGGCTGATGGTGCAGGTGCTGCCTGGCCTCTCTGCTACCCCTGTTCCTGCCTCCACCACCAGTAAAGGCAGCGTACCAGCACCAGTAATTGTGGTGGCAGAAGAAAAATCTTTTTTCCCTAAAGCTGTAGGAAAAAAAAACCCAACTTTGTCTATTTCTGTGCATGATAGATCCATAAGCAGTCAGTTCCCACCACCTATCCTTTAAGGCCTTTGGCTGTTACTTAACCTTTCTTGCATGAACTTGTCAACCCTACATTGCAGGGTTGCTAGCAATGAGAATTGTTGGGTTGTCTCCTCCTGTTGTGCATCTGCCATGAGAAAATCATGTAAACTAAATCCCATAAGGAGCAAGGATTTTCTACCTATCCACCCAACACTTTGTTCTTTCCATTGTTTAGATGGCTCCTGCGGCTGGACGAAATGACAGGTAACTTGGGAAGCAAGGGACAGAGCCCTTAAGCATGGGGATTCAGTGGGAAAATTCACACTGAGAGATCTCTTCCATTTAGCTTCACTAATCACTAAGTCCTAGCATATGAAAGTGACACTCAGTATTCCCAATCAGACAGTCAAGAAGGGGACTTTCCTAGCATTGTCACTAGAAGCTTAATTCTGTGAAAGAAACTTCCTCTAAGCTACTGCAGCTGCCTCTGGTTTCTCAGCTTAGCTACTGGGCACAGCGGTCCTGGTAAGGTGAGATACCTGCTTAGTCCTTCCTCAACTCACAGTGTTGATGCAGATTGAAAATCTGCCTTTGGGTGGGCACATGTATCTCATGATGAACAGGGGGATTTTTTTCTATTCTTTCCGCCAATTTAAATGACTCTCAGTCTTCATAATTTACACACCAACCTATAAGAAGAAGGCTTATCAGAAAAGTTATTCCAGTTTGGTTTTGCCTCCAATGCTTACCACTGCAAACCTAGGAAGGGGAAAAAGGAAGATTAAGGCAGAAGTAGCTCATCAGGTCTCCCAGCCTCCTCCAGCCATCATGAATGGAGTGTGGGGTGGGGGACGGTTGAGCATTAGATGGAATCAGGCTAAAAAATTCTTGATGTCAAATGCCAATGATAAAGTTAAAATGGAGGTGCAGCTCCTTCATCTGGGAAAACACTAGCTACTGATAAGTAATTATTTTCCTAGCTGCTATCCTAGATTTGGTAAGGGACTGCAATCAATAAGCCCAAGGAGGATTATTTTTAGACATTAATAACAAATTTGGAAATCTGAAGTTGTAGATACAGCAGTGCTCATGTATAAAAATGAAATAAAGAAAAAAAGTACAAAATAGTGATAGTTTACATCCACAG